GTACCGTGTGAGTCTTTCCCACGCATTACACACGCGAACGCCAGGTTAGGTCACCGCTGCCACGTTAAGTCCGCATCGCGATCGGTCAGTCTTTTGACCTCCGCCTTCGTCCGTTGAAGCATCGCGATATTGATTTGGGTGTCAAAGGGCGCGCAGCCGTACAACCCTGCACCGTCGATCTTCTGCGCAACAACCTGTTATTCACGACATGCAGGGTGACTGCAAAGAATGCGGGTATTTGAAAAGCGCAAACGCACACAAGGATAGTTTCCATTCTGTTTCCTTGCATCAACTACTGCTTCTAGCAAGTCAGCGAGTACGCCTACGCCGTCGGACACTAGAACCTCGCCGATCTCTGAATAATCATCATCCCACCACCTACCCCGCGGTCCCCCAGACGGGATCATACAGCCCCGAACCATTGGATCATCCGGTGCTCGTCACCCGCTTGAGCCATAAACAGACTCGCCCTTCCATGAATTGATATCCCATCCTCCATTAGCAGTCCTTCAATCAAGCCAATTTTTCAGCTACCGGTCAGGCTGCCTGCCGATGCAACCCTACCTACGCGTCTGCGGCGTAACCATATCGATATGAGCCAACTGAAATAACTTTGAGAGCGCAGCCAACTAGACTGCTCGTACGCAGCGAGTATACTTCGCAAGCGTGGAGAGCAGCAGGGCGAGAGATGTGACGCAAGTAGGTCTCAAGCAATCCTACGTGCGACAGCAACTTGCCTGATGCGGAAGCATGTTGCGAAGCCTGCGCCTCGTGGGATTCAGCCTCTAGTGGGGCTGCGCGACTCTGCCAGTGACGCATTCCACATACCATGGATAACTCGAATTTGAAATGATACAAAAGTCTCCACATGCACTACAACTGCACATCTGGGAGTAGTTCAAGAAGCATGCGGATCACTCGGTACGCAAACCGCGCCACGACGCCTCACGACAGCTTCAACGGAGCGCAATTCGCTGCTCGGCATACCGGATGCGATCTAGTCATCCCACGATAACAAGCGCAGAGCGGGCTCTCGGTGACCGGTTTTTCGTCACGTGCAGAGCGCGAGATGCCACGGCACGGAGTCAACTCCGGCGCGGCTGTGTGGAAAGCACCATGAGAGGCTGGTGTGAAACGGACAGTGGCACAAGCATCCTTCACGGGTTCAACCGTGTCTCGTCTGTTGCTCTCGTCTGCAATGCTATTCCGGGACCCATACCAGCAGGCAGCCATTCGGCAAGGCCACCAGCTACGCCTGAGCCTTTTTGCATACGATAATTACAAGCGCAGAGTTTGTGTCGCCCCGTCACGCTCTGCGACACGTATCGTTGTTCGCAGAACATACCTTCAGGTTGGCCGTTGAAACGTCCGCGCCACTTAGTCGCGTACAGGGCAGGCGTCGCACTGTCTCGCATACCATACTCGGGTTCGTGCACCGCCCACGAGGATCGTTACGAAAGGTATGCCTCCCTCGACCTTTGTCAGCAAGCGCATGGCTCGCTTGACGTGACTGTTCCGCAGAAACTGTCTAATGCTAGAGCTTTGACACCTGGGCAGGATGTTTTAGCGCCGGTAACTATCGCAAGCCGCTAAGCACTTTGTCCATCCTTTGGGCGGTCCCCAACGGTCGTTCTGTCGGTAATAACGCCCTTCTAACTCCACCGCCGTTGATCTTGGATTCGAGCGATTAAGTTTGATTTGCGAATCGAATATCGTACAACGCTCCGTAGCGTTGACACAGACCCCGATGCCGAAGAATTCCAAGGACCATCGACAAGACAGCCCCAAATAGTACCTGTCGATTCAGCCTTGCGTTCAATTCGCAACTAGTTGCCCAGCGGATTTCACATGTAAACGAACCAACGAATAACGTTCCATTAGCGGCAAAGAGGCGAGTACGAAGCCGCCTAAACGCTTTCAGGATAATGCAGAGAAGAAGGATTGACCGCAACGCTTGCCTAAAGGGGTAAAGTTTCAAAATTCCCGTGCGAGCCCGAAGCAAAGGGTCTCGGCGATTTGTGACACCTCTCGCACTTCGCTGCTGCCCGGAGGACGGGTTGAGACGGTCTTTTACATCCGAGCACGAGACGATTCCTCCGTCACACTGTATTTGCAGCGGAAGTATAGGGTTCCAGGAGCATGATCCTTCCTGTGAAGGGGCCATGCATGGAGAGGATTTGCAATCAAATCAAATCACGTCATATCTTGCTCACGTTACTGTCCTGGTGGACAGTTGTATCTGATACCCCGGATTTCCCACGTTGTATATGTCAGCACCCAATTCTCCAGGGTCAACTCCACCGGCGGTTGCTCGCGCAAGGGCTTACTGATCTGACAACCGTTCGCGCGCTGTAGGGCTGAAGGAGAATTTACCCTCCACGCGGGGTGTAAGAAGTAGGCGTCTGACATGTATTCCACACCGTCTTCGTCGCATTCATCCTCATGCTGCTACACCGTCATCTCGAAAGCAGAAAGACGACGCGTCGCATCGCGTCATGAGTGCCCTCTCCTCGCCCGTCCGGTGCGGCGGCGGAAGCTTCGGAAACCCGTGCCCACGATGCCATCCTTGTCCAGACCTTCAGATTGACAAAGAGCGCACGCGGCCAAACCCCCTGCCCCAGCTTCCGCGAACCCCCTATAGCACAACAAACCTGACGACGATATGTCGTGAGTCGGCCCAATGTAAAAACCCGTATCCCGCCTTCGTACTAATCCGTACAGTATTGCGAAGCGGAACAAAGAAATCCGTGTTACCAGTATTCCCGTTTTCTGGTAAATGAGGTGTATCCGTCCAGCGATGCGCCCAGCCCGATGAAAGCGAAAATCCATGTGCCGTTGAGCCCTGCAGCGTCCGGCATTTTCCATTCGACAGGTATTCGTGCGCATCACTTCCACGATCATGTTGGTGAGTCGAGTCAGGGACTCGAAGGTGAGGGAGAGCCGAGCCAGACCAAGACAGAACCAGATCCTATCCACGGTCACCCATGCATCGCGACATTCGCCCCGAATACACAGTTCTCGCACCGATTAAACCACCACCAAGCACCAACTGCCAACGTAGTCCTTCGCACACCGTTCAGAAAGTCCGGCAGATGATTGTTGGTCCTTTCCCTTTTTTCCACACCGGACGCGTAACAGGTTGAGTACCGAGCGCTGGTGGGCGGCTAGGTCGATCACACGCCCAGTGCATGCCACCTGTTTCTAAGTTCTGGTCTGCCCTATCTAAGATGGGAATAGAACCGTTGGGCTGAATTTAACGATGATTACGATTCAACTTCAGATTTGGTTTCGATGACAGCGGGCGATTGTAGGGCTGAAAATGAGGGACTCGAGCATGGCGATCGATACAGTATTGCGCGCCCCCCTTCGTGTGGGGGCTGGGCTGCGAAAGGGGGTGGGGAGCAAGCGAACCGACCAACTGGAGAGTTTCTGGGGGAGATTTGTGGTGTTTTTGGCTGGATTCGGAGACTTTTCCTTACTGTTGGTAAATTGGCAGGTGCGTGGCGGTTAGGGAAGTTGGGTGCTAGCTTGACTACACCGTCTGTATGCGGTTGTCGCGTGAAGATCTGTGTGTATTATAGTTTTGTTGGAGATGAGTTGGGGTAACGTATCGCATTGTTGTTTTAGGTCAAAGGGGAATGGCGCGCTTTAACGGCGATTGAAGGTTTGATCGAATCCGGGTTGACGTTTTCGCTTGTCGGCTCGCTTCAGTTGTCCCCTTCGTCTACCCTGGGACGACTGATCACGATCGCGTCTTGCTGAATCATGCTTCACTTATTCTAACGTTGTTCGTGGATGGAGCGCATGGTCTGCTTGTTCCAAAGTATGGTTTGAAGGGTAATTACCATGCGTTGGTCGAGTGCGACTCGTGGGATTCAATACGCCAGAGCTACCCAACGCCCAACGTCGCCTCACAGCTTGACAGCAAACTATCGAAGGTTACAACCTAGAATTCCGCTCCGGTAAATCTACCGACAGTCTAATGCTCCATCTCTTCTCTGACAGGAGGTCCATCATGTAGGCCAAGGTAATTCCTGGCTGCCCACTTGCTTATTTCGTGTTGGCTAACAAGCTGGACAGCCAAAGGCTATACATCAATGCTTGTGTATGTTAAGGCATCCCGGGAACCACAACAGGTGGCGCATTTAGGTCTCAGAGACACGTAGAACACAATCAGCACCAGGAGGACCCCTCTACGTAGCCCCATTCCCCAACCAAACTTACTTTCCATCTCAACAGCACAACGAGCCATCTTTACAGTCCAAGCATACACTCAATCTCTTCCCAAATCCTCCATAGTATCTCATATAGTGAAGCGACAAACTGCCACACCGAAAACCACAGACCAAATCTCCGGACTCGACCCTCTTCTCGGGACTCACGCAACAATGCACGCAAGTTCAACCCCATGCCACCTGATTGGCTCGATCACCTACCCTTTTAACCAACACATTAGCCATCATTCCTTTCCACGTGTGTCACCCGCAACGTAGAAAATGACGAATGTCGTGGGCGGAAAGACCATGGTCTGTGGACCCTTACGCCCCAGCGTCTATGCAGCCACAATGGGGCTAGCTGCGCCTTGGAAGTAGCGTACAGCCCTGGAGGTGTTCTTGAGATCAGCGTAATGAGCCCCATGGTGTAGCCATGGAATGAAGGTAGAGTGCAGGCGATGCATGTCGAGAGGGCGACGATAATTGATGCCCGGTGGGGTCTTTTGTCGTTCAAAAGTGGATCGAAGAAATGTAGTGACCGATCAACACACTTGCGTGGGTGATGGCCAACTGGGATGGCGGCGCCTGTACTTGAGGACATGGATTTCCTTGGTGGCCTGAATAAGTTTGCCGCCTAAATCAATATGAAAACGCGCAAAGTAGATGGCCCAACGTCAACGTAGGCTCTAGGAAGCAGTAAACTCATGAAGTAGCACTCAACCAGGAGCAGTAATGGCTCTTAGAATATACTATGCATTTAGTGTGAGGTGAGCCATAATTTAGATACTATGACAACCGTACTCTCTTCTCTACTACAGCCTCCCAATCCTTCTTCGTGAATGGAAGATAGCGATCACTACCTTCCGGTAGCCAGTACAGCTTATCCTCTCCAGTGATTTTATCCGGATCAACACCTTCCTTCTTCAATCTACCCTTTTGAATCTTTAAAGTACCCGTATACTCTAATGCAGGCGTCACTCTCAGAAACAGCGGCACTGCATAACTCGGTAAGACCGCTTTCGCGTGCTTTGCCAGAGCTGCGAAGTCGAATGTTGACTCTGTGACTCCATCTGCCATAACGATAGATGCAGTGCCCGCTCGGCCGTCGTAGCCAGGCACAAGGACGCCGTATGCGTTCGTTTCAGCGATCTGCGGGAACTTTCCGAGCATGTCGGCTACTTCGTTTGTCGATACGTTCTCTGACTTCCAACGGAACGTATCGCCTAGACGGTCAACGAAGAAGACGCGGCCGTCGGCATCTTGTCGCATCATGTCGCCTGACTTGAACCATCTGCTATCATAAGCTTGCAGTCGACGAGATTGGAAGGATGACTTACATATCACCCTTCTCGAAAACATCCCTAATTCTCCTATTCTCTGTGGCACCTTCGTTCTTGTAGTAGCCTGGTGAAGTAGCCACCGTCTCCGGTGTTAATCTATGCAGCACCTGGCCCGGCTCGTTCACCCCACATCTGATTGCAAAGCCGTTTGCATCTCTCATGATCTCTTCCGTATCAACATCCATCTTCACCCTCACTTCCTGGTCGCCGAACCGCCAATTCCAGATCAGCCCTCGGAGACCAATGCTATTCGCCGTGAAGGGACCAGCGTTGCGATTGAATGTCGCCCCTAATCCATCGGTAGCCGCATATAATTCGTTGATGATGGGTATGTTGAAACGCTCACGAAAGGGTTCCCAGACGTCAGGGCGCATGCCGTTGCCCCATGCCATCTTTACTTTGTGTTTCCGCTCGAATGCATTCGTTGGGCCGTTGAGTAGATACCTGCAGAGCTCGCCGACATACTGAATGATATCCGCATCTGAAGCTGCGACTTCAGGCCAGAAGGTCTTGTGCGAAAACCTCCGGCTCAATACGACTGTACCGCCAGCATGAACCATCGGTGTAACGCAAAGGCCATGCGCAGCCCCGTGATAAAGTGGCATACATGTGTACATTCTGGAGGCCGGTTTCAGTTCGAGGTATTTGGCGGCGCTGTAGCCAGTCAAGAGCTCGCGACCAGTGCTCAAAGTCACACCTTTGGGCAGCCCGGTCGTTCCGGAAGTATACAGTAGCGAGCGGAGGGACTCTATAGTAATGTGTTCGCGACGCGAGTCGGGTATAATAGTCGGGTTCGGTAGCGACGCGAAGAACGAGGGATCGTAGTACTGGATCTTGATGCCGGTCTCCTCGAGATCCGTACGGCATGGCTCGACATTGCTCTTGACATCGGCGTCTGCGATGAGGAATCTGCAGTTGCATAGCTATTGCAGAAGTCAGCCAGGGTCTACCCGCTTAGTTCCAGGAACGCTTACTCTTGCGCAATGCACCAATCCTGTCCCAGTGAGGTTCCAGTTGACGAAGCTCGGAACAGCTCCAATCCCATCGAGAGCAAACCAGAGCATCAGATACTCCGGGCTGTTCCCGCCATCCACAGCAACCACCTCGTCAGCTTGTATGCCCAGGTCCTCTATCAACCAATTCCCCACCCTGGTGAATGCATCAAAGAACTCCTTGTATGACCAGGTTTTGCCTTCGAAGATGAGGAATGGATGTTTCGGCTGGTTGCGGACCTGGTCTTCGAAAGCGTGGTACGTGAGAGCACGTTTGCGAGTTGCACGGTCGGTGATGAAGTCGAGGACATCTTGTGTCGGCGAGAGAGCACCGCGTTTACGCGTAAGGTCATGAGCAATATGATATTTCGCGTTGAGGTAGGCTGCTAGGCCTGCTGTGCCTGCTGCTCCGGCGATTATGGGTACTTGAAGATAGTCAACATCCGAGAACACCACGAGAGGATAGAGGTAGATGCTTACATGCCATAGTAACGACCACTTTCCACTTATCGTCCGGTTCCAGAGGTGTTCATAAAAGATACAACGACCGATCCGTCTGTTTAACCCCAATCAACCGGGTGTACCAAAGACAATGCGCGAGAACAGGTAATGTGATTCATCGCAAAAGCTTCCTTTCGCAGGGAGTCGGGGAAAGCTAGGTGCACCGAGGTTGTTGTTGTCGCAGAGACGCGACTCAGGGACCGTCGACTTCCCCGCATTCTACCGGGTAGCTTATTTCCGGGCATCCGCTACAGGGAACCCCAGGGCTTTGCTACCGTATCATCTGCAGTCTCTTTCTAAGTCGAACAGCCAGACATGTCTTACGATCATTCAATCCAATACTCTGCAGTTTTATGATCTTGAGGATCTCTCTAGACCCGTTGTTGATAACATGCTCTGCGATTACCGCACAGGAATGTTGTCTAGAGTGTATGAACGCGCCCATCGTCCACGAACAAGAAGGTTAGGGCAATGGGCATTTCTGGAGCTTGTGTCGCATCATGCGGTTGCTGCATACATAGTGGTATATTTGATCAAGTAGGTAGTATAGAAGATGATGTATACTTCTACTCAATTGTTTTTGTAGCATGGAACGTATTGTTACCTCTCCTAATGAGGGGGTCTCACGTCGTTTGATCCTCTTAATCACTATCATACTGCATCTTGCATCGCGCGGCAATATACCGCCGGTTTCTAACTCCCATACAAACAACATCTCATCCTGCCCCCTTCATTCCATCTTGTTCATCTCTCCAAGATATCTACTTCCTCTCCTTCCAAGGTTGAAAGCCATTCCCCTACCATAGCGTCTAGCTTATTTACGTCCTCCCCATCCTCATCAGCCACAATCTCATCATCTTCAATCTCGAATCCATGACACTGAAGCCATAGGGGAAGCTCCTCCGCTCCCTGCATGCGATATATCGTCATCATTTGGCCGTCCCAAGACTTGGACCGAAGGGTGATGGAATGTCTCCAGTACCCATATCGTCTCAACACTTTCAAGAGGCATACATATACTGTCTCGCAAACGTGTTGTTCTCGGACCCACTCTTGCGTACCGGCCCACGATCCGCTGCCCGGATCATACAGTGCCGCTTCTGCTTCGTTGATAGCTTCAGATGTGTTCTTCTTGTTGCGATCAAATGTCCAGTGCTGTATCGCTGAGCGGAAATCGTCGTTTGTCCATTCTTTAGCTTTGGGGAATTTTGCTGGGTTCCAATCCTGAGCGAATTGTTCTGCGGTCTCGTATTCACCCTCAAAGCGTTTGTACTCTTGTGTTGGTGAGGAAGGAAAGGTACATACGCATCCAGAACGATTGCGTATGTAGCTCTGCTGATAGTATGGAGCTGGCTCAGATCTGGCAGGCTTACCCGTTGTAGCCGGGGCAGTGGCTGCTCTTTTGTGGTGCGCATAGAGTTGCTCATGGTATGATTTGGCTGTGAAATGAGCTTGAAGGGCAGTCATTTTGTCGGTTGACTGCTTATTATCAGAAGGCATCATGAGCTATAACTTCTTTTATGTTGTGTTTTTGGGAAATTTGTAGATCTTTTGCTTTGGGGTCGAAATGTTGTAAGTTGATCTGTGACTTCTAATCTTTGAAAGTCTGCTTTATATATGCGCAGCTTTGCTTCTGTGTTACTCAAATAATTCGCCCGCGTTTCTGGTCGTTTGGACTATGGATATCTGCGGTAGCGAACCATGGTCGAAAACCTGAGGCTACGCGAGTCCCCAATTCAGACTCGCTCACATTCGATGAATGTCATGAGTATTGGTTCAACCTTTACTTAACTGGCGGCTCGTATTCTACGCCGACATTCAACATGATCCACACACGCCTCGTATTTGGCATGCAAGTCCGCCACCTCATCGGAGAACAATCGACCGTGGCTCGGAATAGTCCTCTGCTTCGGGGTACCACTCTTTCGACTGCTACCATGATGTTAGCGATCTCATCATCGTCACTTTTGACCGCATTTGTACTTACATCTTTCTTCACCTCGGATTTTACCCTCTTAATCACCACCAGTCCAACCCTCACATACTCGCCCCGCTCTTTATCCGTACTAATGATTACCACACCCAAAGCCGGCGCAACGATCAGAACCTCACAAGCCTCATATGCCTCGACATCGAAAAGAACGCGCGCATCATGGTAGCTTTGATCGCGCATCTGCACCTTACACGACCGATACGGACTCTTCCCTGTCGCTACATCTTTCCCGATAGCAGTAACGTCGGTCACCGATCCACTGAACTTTGCCCACCCATCTTTCAACTCACCAAGCGGATTAAGTCCTTTAGGCACGACCCTGCATTCTTCAAGAAACGCACAGAAGCCTCGCAGCGAAGTATTCATACCTATAGTAAGATCACCTAATCCGTAATCCACAGGTCCTTCCCCAGACATGAACGACCAAGACGGTGCCGTCCACACCTCCGGTCTTTTGAAGGGCGCGACATCATGTCTAGGTACCCACAGGAGCCACTTGGCGAAATTCCGCTTCCACAGTCCCGCGGCGCAGACGTCGCCAGTCATGCGCTGTAAGACTGTCATGACGCCTGAGATGGCGGGGAATTTGTCTTTGGGGTATGTTATCCCGCGGGCGGTGTAGTCGCGGACGAGTTGGAACCATGCGTCTTGGCCAATGGCGGCACCGATGGGGAGGTTGATGCTGTAGACTACGGCGTCGAGGGTGTAGAGGTGCGTCCAGCCTCGCCTTTGCTCTTCATGCGAGATGCCGTCGGGACAGCGCCAGAACATGTTGGCGCTGCCAAAATGGAGGGAGCGGGATGGTAGGAGTTGCTCTTGGAGGACCCAGGCTCGTGTTTCGAGGGGGTCGCTTGGTAGTGCCTGGGTTTTGTTAGTGAGGAGACGAGGGTGTCACGGGGGATGGAGCTTACATAGTTGCGGGTCTGTTGGGCGACGAGATATACTTCTAGATGACCTTCGCTATCGTGGATCTCGATACGTTCAGTCGTTGGCATCTTCCGTGGTCCTAGGAAGCCTGCTCCGCAATGTGAAGCGTTGGATGCAGCGATGTTGATGTGTGATCTGGAGTAGATGTCGGCCATAACAGCCGATTCTTTCTCCCAGTCTGCTGTGTCATCTTGTACTAAGAGCGAATATGCAAGTATTAGCATATGTACTGTATGCAGAGGAGTCGGTTCATACCAATTGCCAGGCAGTCAATCCATACGTACCGTAGACCAAGAAACCGTACCACGATAGCAGCATCTTGAAGAGTCTTAGGAAGATCTTGAAAGCTGATGCTGCTCTTTCGCATTGGAAGCGTCTCTGTGGTAGTCATGAACGGCAACCCATTTCCCCAACAATAGCTCAGCGTTGCGTACTTCCCTTTCTGATCAGCGGTCGTTTCGACTAGCTTACATTTGGATTGAGAAAACAGTTCTGGCCACCGCTTCATGTTTTCGGCTAGAGCGTCGGAACTGGGCATGTCATCGAGATCCAGCACTCTTGTAGGCAACAACGAATCTTGCTGGATCGCAGAACATCTCTCATGCCGGGCGTTGCATTTATCAAACCAAGCCCTAAATTGCTTCACTGGCGTTGAGTCAAGCGAGTCTTCTAATTTTACTGGCTTGAATAAGTTCGGAGATGGGGTATCTTATCTTGGATTAGCGTTCTCGCAATGGGTCGGCAACAAGATCCTATCCAAACATACCAAATCTATTTCGAAACTCCACAGCAGTAGCTTCATTTATGCCCTTGTCTAGATAGAGATCCAGCTTTGTGCCGTATGTTTCAGATTCGGATAGATGAAGCCATGCTGGAGCGACTTCCACATCTACTTCTTGTGCGACTCGTTTGTAAACCGGCCGTGTTTCCAGATCCCGCATAAGCATGCTGCATATTACACATTCCAAAGCGCTTCTTCTCAATCGCGGTAAGGTAGTTTGGCGTCTGTCGCATATCCATGTTTCGCTGTTGTGACCCCAGGGTATGCCATTGTCGTCGGTCCAAGACGTCTTTTTCCAGTCTGGAGGGTGATCTCCGCGGACGAGCGCGCGAAAGGGTATGGAGCTACAAGTAGTGCAGAGTGACATAACCAGTATATATGGAATTATCAGGGCAGGATGGCAATGGTGAAATCTGATGTGAGATGTCAGGTGTGATGGGTGGGACGTACCTGCCTGCTTATAGTCAGCCTGCAGGTGCTCTAGCCTCACGTGTCTTAGTACATGGGATTGCTCTCCACAACCAACTTTGCCTTTCTAGGAACACTCTTTGTGGCTTACTGTGATTCCATGTCATAGCATTGATTTCTCTCATCTTTTATCTATCCATCACCCTCTCATTCCATCCACGACCTAATACCCAACCCCACCCCCCTCAGTCGGCAAATCAAACCACGCGTAATTCCCACCCGTACAAGTCTCCCTCAAATACGCCCACGCCTTGGGCCTCTGCCTCCCCTCCAACCCCGGATCCAGTCTAAGCGCCATCTTATACGCCGCCGTCTGGCCGCTACTATCCACCAGATCAACGTAATCAGGGATATCGCCAAAGTCCTTCTTCTGCAAACGCTGTTCCCACGTAATGCCAACGGTGCCGCCGTCGACAAAGGCAAACGGCGTGTTGTCGACGTAGTGCAGTTGGATGCCGAGGCCGTACATGACGGTTGGGAACCATTTGTAGGCGGTGTAGGCGATGAAGTTGGGTACGGAGGAGACGGGGACGACGAGCTTGGAGTGGAAGGGTGGGGCGGTGGTGAGTTCGGTGGCTTTGCCTTTACCTTTTCCTTCGTACTGGTTCTTGGTCTGGTTGTCGAGGCGGGAGGTGAGTTTCATGAGTGTGATGAGGGTGTTTAGTTCGGGGCAGCCGCCGTAGAGGTACTGGGGATGTTTCTTCAGCGACGAGATATGCTGGCCAACGGGGCCGGTCAACTGCTTCTCGTAGACATCTGCTTCCTTGATGTACTGGTTCATGCGACGTAGAATGCTGGGAGACATGCTCTCCTTGCGGTTATCGATCTGGAACCGGACGTGGCGGACCATGTGGAAACGGCCCAGATACGCGAGACGGTCGAAGTAAGTCGAGGTGTCATAACCGATGGAGAAGGTGTTTGTGGAGTAGAACATGGGAAGTGATTCCTCTCGGACTTGCTTGCTGACGCGAGTGATACCGAGAAGATCGCTGGTCGCGAAGTGATGCTCTGCATTGTCGTCGTGGAACTGAACGACCTGGTCGTCGGTATAGTCGCACAGATGAGGCCTGATGGGTCGGTCTGTATCAAGTGCGAGCGAATAGATGCGCTGACGTAGCTCCACAGAAAGCTCCATGAACTTGTGGAACTTGGGCTTCAACATCTTGCACCTGCCGGTGGTATGGCGTTCGGAGTGACACTGGTGACAGAGAGTGCAGTTCATGTTGCGGATACCCTTTTCTGCCATGCAAGTGAGGCAGTGAGTGGGCGTGCGATATCTAGGCTGACGGGGCCGCACCGGAACGTTGGAGGTGATAGGAGGTGGTTTTGTCGCGCGTCTTGCCTTGGGCTTTGATGGTCCTGGAGTGGGATCATTGACTGGTGGAGCTGGCAGAAGGATTGGGTTGAAGGAAGGTACACGGAGAGAAGCCGCAAGATTGCTGTCGTCCTCGTCTCCCAATGCTCGAATATCGCCTTCAGAACGCGGTGCGCGTAGACGACGACGTGTATAGGCGGTGGATGCCTGGAAGTCACTCGAGCCAGTAACCGATCCCGACGAAAGAGGAGCGTGGTTCAGATTTGCTGCTTCACGAAGACTGTACATGTATAGATCGGCTGCACAAGTTAGCTATGAGTCCTCACCAGAAAATTAATGGGGTCCTCTTACCTTGGTTCCTCCAGTAAGTCTCCGCTTGCTGACCCATCGATTGCCCTGACTCACCAGACGTCGGCCCACCACCAGTACCAAATCCCGAGCCTGCTTCGATCGCTTTCTGAAAGTCTTCATCATATTTATAATCGAAGTATTCTTGGCCACAGCGGTCGCACAGAGTCCGCTCATCTCCATCCTCACGACGAGGGTCAGGCTTCAGGCAGCAAGACATGGGCGGCATAACGAGATTTCCATCGACCACCAGGTCAGTAGGAGGAATGAGTGGTGCCGGAGCTGGTTGCGCGGGTGCGTGAAAAAAGTTCTGCGCGTACACCGCACCACACCCAACGCAGACCCAGTCACCGTCGTCCATGGTCCAGTGCTTATAATCGGGACAGCATTTCGGGGAGTCGCCTATGATGGGATGTGGGCGGCCTGCTTTCTGATTGACCTCGAAGCCCTTTTGAGTTGGGCGAATGTCGGCGCCAGACTCCTTCATGGCCAAAGCTAGGTGTAAGGCCTCGGGGCTGCAATCGCTCGGCCAGAAGTCACTCCAAAAGTTGTCGTTCGCTTCGTAGTCGTCGTCGTTCATTGTCGGCGGCTGGCTGCTGGGTGATTGTGCAAAGGTTGAGAAGTGAGAGAGCAGGTTATTTAAGTGATATTCCAAAAAGTGAACGCGGCGAGTGAGCGAATATATGGGAGCGAGCAAGAGAAGCCTAAAGAGTTTCCACACCGCAGACGAGGAAGTGAAAGCGCGCATGTGACCACACTGTGAGAAGTCAGGAGTCCGTGAATCAGATGAATCGGGGAAACGCACATGCATACGACAAATCAATCATCGTTCATTGGTATACCTTCGAATGACGGCCTCTACCACTTCTTACCTCCCTCATCACTGAAATCACGTCCCTGGCGTTCCTGTTCTAACCTAGCGTCAAACTCTTGCTGCGCGCGCTGCCTCTCCCTGGCCCTCTCCTCATCACCCGCAACAAACGTATACGAATCTCCAAGCGTGGACCCTTCCCTTTGCTCCCTGCGCTCTGGCTCCGCTCTGCGCGATTGTTGCTGCTGTGGCCTTTGAAGTGGCGCTGCTGCTCCTCCTCCGGTGCGCCTTAGACGATCCCATGACGATTCACCAGGTCTTGCTTGAGATTGGGATTGGGGTTGTTGTGGGTTGTTGACTTCGTCTTGGAAGAGGCCGCCAGTGGGGGAAGCGTCGTCATCGAATGGAAGAGATGAGGGCGGTGCTTGCTGGCGTTGTGGAGCTGGTTGTGATGTGTCGTTTGAGAACGTCTCCCATGTGTCTGATCCGGCGGTTCTGGTACCCCACGATTCGTTTCCAGCGGTCGGGCTCATGTCGTCGCCTCCATCAGCGTTCCCTTGAGGCTGCTTACCCCAGCTAGCCTGTGGTGACGGGCCACCTCCTGCCTTGTTCCTGACCTGCTCCTGGAATTGTCGTCGCCTGTCCTCGATCTCACGTCCTTGTTGTGCGGTCCTCTGTCCCTCAGCATGCGATGAAGCCTTCAACTCCTGCCCAAACTGCTCCAGCTTCGGATCATTCGAGGTATTCACCGCAGCCAGAGGTTGCGCGAGGAGTTGACCAATGATGTTGCCCATCTGTCCTGCCACCAAAACGTACAAACTGAATCGCCATGTGTGTCGTGCAAACATCGCCATGTTGCCCTTGATCGGACCAAACTTATTCCGGTCAATGTCCTCCACCTTTGGCTGATAGAAGGGATACTTCATTCTATCCATAGTCCTCCACCATTGGTACGTTCCTGCAGCTGCACCCGTGGCGGCGAAATAGCTTTTTGTTTGCTCAAGCTGGTATATGTGGTATGCGAGCGCCTGCGCTTCTTCGGGGTTCAATTGACGGCCGACCTTGCGCTCGGCGAATTTGAGGGTAGTTTCGGTCTTGAAGCGGACAGCGCGGTCGGAGAAGCCCATGAAGGTGCCTATAATCGGTAATGGCTGGGGCAGGACGCTCGCGTCGAAGCGAGCGCCTGAGGAGGGCGGCGACGCGGAAGCATACGGGTCGTCCGAGGAGGGGTACGGGTTATCTGTGAAGCCTTCCGGGGCTGTATTGTCGACGTCCTGGAGCACCATGTTGGTATATGTGGAATTGGGTCGTGATGGTGTGTGGTCGTAGGAAATGGTGCGTGGTGTGATGAAGAGACATCGGAGCTTAGCTCAAGCGTTGATGACGGCATCGAACACAACCTCGGGATCAGGGTCCACCTGGCAGCTGCGAACACCTGACACGATACCATCGCCCAACTAGCGTCTCGCATCGCGACAATCAACACTTGTCACCTCCGTCTATTCCAATTACTTCACATAAGAAAGATTTGTCACAAGATTCAATACGGTCTATTCCCATGTTCCCCTGACCCAGCGATACTCCCTCGGCAGAAAATGTACGTACTTATACAAAAGATAAAGAAAATGACCACTCCAAGTTCGACCAAACTACTGCGAACCCCATATGCTCGCAAGGAAGCAGAAACTAGACTGTGTTGAGTGAGGAAAGTACCCAACTTCGCTTCACAAAACGCCGCGACCCAAAGCCGCCTGCAACGGCCAATTATGATAACCAGAAACACCCTCGAAGGGTGGCATGAGAAAAGCGACGGGCCAAAGACTTGGTCCACCGTTGCGCGCGATATGTTGTATATACTTTTGCGGACCCAGAGTGTCGTCGACTGATCACATGCCTATAAAATGATGCAGCGACAGCCAGCTGTAGGTTCCTCGTCGTTATCTCTTCGGCTGCCAGTTTTGCCGGTCTTGGCGTTTTCCTCGTCGTCCACCATTTCCTGTGGCTTGACTGTCATGTGCACCACGTTGGGCGAGTCTGTCTGGAACCGGCAGTCTGTCCGATGTCAGTAGCTGGCCTTGGAGTCTGGAGTGTCTATCGATACGGGCTGCGCGTCGTGGCTGCATTAACCAATGATCGGCATGTGCCGAGCGATTGGACGAGCCGTGCCAAGAACGTTGACATGATGCGATGAGATGGAGGTGCTTACCCTTGAGTGGGGATTTGTCGTCGAGCATGCGACCAAAGTGTATCAGTCGTATTGAGCCTGGCGATGTGGGCCGGGTCTCCCATTCTGCAATGACGAGTTAGCGGTTTGCACGACGAAGGCTGCAAAGGGATGCTCTTTGGGCACCATGCAGATCAAGACCGAAGACGTCAACATAGCCACCCCACTGTCGAACCAAGCTTCTCCCAGCTCTTGCGCCACATAGAGAAGAGATGCGCATGCGTACCTTCTCGCCAGTCCCGCCATATCAGCTCCTTGAGCGTGTATACGCTGATGTTGTAGGGGTCCATGTTCTCGACATTGACGTTGCGCTTCTTGAGGTACTTCTCCTCAATCTTGTAGGGGTGTCTCGAGCCGCTGGTGAGGAGCAGCATTATCACCAGCACGGGGCCATTGGTGTTGTCTGGGTTCGCGGCTGGAGTATCGGTCGACGGCCCAATCGCCTCGGTCTCTGCGCGATTTAACGCAGCAGGCGGTGCGGGTTTCGCAGACGGGGCAGCAACGACGGGCGCGTCCTCAGAGGCGCTGATTTCGGTCACGTGTGGTGTGGAAGCTGCTATCGCGGCTGGAACGGGGGTCTCTGCGACGTGCGTGCTCGTGCTGGCGGGAGCTGGGACGGCGCCCGACGCCTGGAGAGTCCGCATCTCGACGGGGCTGGACGACAGGCCTTCGCTGCTGCTCTGCGGTCGCGACCCTGCGGCGGGCTGTTGTGGAGTGGTTTGCGGTGCCGTGGGGGCTTGGTCCGCTGTAGACGCCATGGTGGTCGGCCGACTGCACTCGCGACGGGCGGCGGCGATGCGAAAGGGGAGCGATTGGACGGGCCAAGCGAGGGGACGACGATGGCACGGCGGGGGGATTCTTCTGGGCAGGCGTCGTCGGTGCAGAGGGCGCGGCAGCGAAAAATAGTTTGGTGTTGAGATGTATCGGGCCTGTGGGCGTGAGAGAGAAGGTCGGGCGACCGTGCGCGATTGGGAAGTCGCCGTCGCCGCCTTGTTATGCCCTTCTCCGCAATCCGCAAACGCGGCAAGAGCGACCCGCCGTCTCCACCCAGAGCCACTACTGAGCCGAGAACACCGCCTCAATACCTGGGCGTATGCCACCCGCCCAATGTTTGCTGGTACCGATAGACGTGAACCAGCAAACTCACAGCCAGCCGACTTCTGCTTCTCCTGTCACTGCCTACACTGCTAGGCCCGCGGCGCGCCAGGTTCTGCCTCCCCAAGCGTCTGCCCCTGCATTGCATGCCCATGGCCATTATTGGTCAGCTGAGCTGTTCATGCATCTGCTTTACGCCACATGCACAGCAGTCCGAGTGGACCCGGGGCTGTTCCGAGACACCCTGGGAATGACAGTAGATTGTCTTGTTCAGCATGTCATAAGCACAGAATATGCGTCCTGACGTTTTAGCCATTCCCAGTCAGTTGCCAGAATGCTATGTCTGTCGAATATCAGATCATCATGACGAAGGATCAACGAGTCACACGCAAAACCAGAATGCAACCTTGAGGCATGCACAGCTGTGGAACAGTTCCCTTCAGCAAGGACACAACGAATAGCTCTCCGACGAATTAGGTATCGAAGGTCATCGGCCATGAGAAACCAACTTCTTCGTACGAAAGGCCAATAACCATATGCCCTTTGCCGACCTTACACCCAAACTAGTGATCCGAATCCATATTGATTTGCCAATTATGCCGGTTATATTCGGTTCCAGTGTCCATCAAGAGAAAAGACACGCAGGTTAGTCAAGCCATGCTGGTGAACGTATCATTATTTCATTCGTGTCCTGGTTCTATACCAACGCCGGCTGTCCATATCGTAAACGGTCCGTGGTATGGCTTGGGCGGATGAAGTGTCGCTACCAATGCATTCAGTATGCCCTCCATGTGTTCTGCCCAAGCACCATAAACGCTCTACCAGTTCATCTTCATCTTGTGCTCAATCTCCGTGTGGAAGTCTGGCACCTCACGCAGCTCGTTTCCAGTGAAGACATCCTCCCAGCCAATCTCCGTGTCCCGTCCCTGCAGGATGTCCCGGTGGACGTTGCTACTTCCACCTAGAGTTGCTGGCCTCCACTCGCCCGCCTCGGCGATCTTGAGCTCCATACCCCTGCGCACTGGCTCTGCGATGCCGAACTGTCGCCTCAGCATCTCCATCTTCAGGCGGTCTTGGGTGTCTCGCCATTGGGTAAGACGGGCCTCGAGAGGGTGGGCGGACTGGAGAGCGACGGGTGCTGTCGACGATGAGGCGGCGCTGGATGCTGTGGTGGTTTGGCCGAGGCGAGAGCGCAGGGTATCGTGTACACCGGGGGCTGAAGGGGCTGAAGTCTCCAGAGCGGTCTGCGTGGAGTGCGCCTTGTGGGGGACGATACGGAGAGACTGGATAAGTGTTAGACCAGGGCACTGTGTACATGGGCGCTGTGGTGCTGATAGCGTACCATCTTGTTGAATGTGACGCTGAGACTTGTGAGGTGAAACTGGTGCGGGCTTTTGAGAGTTTCGACCTCGAATATACGATTTAGTGGGCTGAGGTGGTGTTGATGTTCGAAGGCGGGATGTCGAACTGTTGCTATCGATGGAGCTCCAGGCTACGGAGGTGACGCGCCCGACTAGCGCGGTCTTGGCACAACCATATGCTCCAAATCCCGACCTCACCACTTCACAAACGTTCAAGAGAAGTGCCTAACATGAATCATGGCTCAGTTGCGGACAACTACATCCCGACTATGCTGCTCAACGGCAGATCCCAAACCACACAGGCGACGACCATGGCCCCTACACTGACCATAGCTGCCATGAGAATGTTGACAGCATTGTTGTCCAGCAGATCGCTCCCGACTTCAATCTTCCGACTCTCATGCTGTGCATCCACGACTGCATTGCCGCTTCCCCCAGCTCTCATCATTGTCTCTGAGGCCTTGATCGACGCCGCAGTGTCCGCTCCGCTCGTCTTTGCAATGCCATTCTTGCCTTCCGCACGACTGCTGACTTTACTGCGCACTTGACCTGTCTTGGAAAGATGAAGAGGATGGCTGCTTTTCACGAGAACTCTCCTGCCTCCTTCGCCCTCTACGACCTTTCCAGAGTGGACGTCGACGACGCTCGCTTGAGCCAGAGCACCCAGAAGCGAGTCGAGTAGTGTTCCGCTAAAGCCAGCAGCTGTCAGAGCAAGTGTATAGGTAATCTTCTCGGACAAATCCCAGTCTTTACAGAAAGGCAGCAACAGCGTAGATGTAGCTGAGAGTATGAAGGCCCCCAGTAGGCCTGCACCAAGTCCAGTCGCAGTCACTCCTCCATTTGTGCCTGGCGGGACGACACGCCATGGAGCTGTTATGAGACGTGGCTTTGATTTCGAAAGGATACCGAGTTCGGAGGAGAAGGTGTCGGCGGCGACTGCGGCGTAGTTGCTAGAGTATGTTAGCAATCACATGCTATGACATGAAGTACACTCGCTTACGCTACAATGCCTATGACCAGGGCATCACTCCCTTTGTGCCAACATAGACCCTGGTCGTTGTATCTCCCTTCTTTCCTTAGCTGCCAGAGGTGCAGCAAGAGTAACACCGAGGCTACGCCGGAGTTCGCGATGACCTGAACATGATTGCGCTCGCCTTCACCACCAGATGCGCCCGTCGCGGACTGTGTCAGTTTCGCTTTGATGTCGTGTTTGACCTGTCTCGTGTCAGTACTCCTCTATCGCATTCTTCATCAAACGTACCTTCGTCACAGTACTACCGGCCAGGAAGAAGACGGCAAGAAGCACGAAGAATACACTCCATGGGTGCAACACATGCACAACTGCTGTCGCGAAGGCCACCAGAATACCGATTGGAGTCAGTGATTTGCGAGAGTATGCTCGATAGACTAGCGCAGCAACGGCGGGGACCGCTATAGTGGGTTGCATGCTTGGAGGTGTTGGTAGAGCGGCACGGAGGTGTGGCTCGAGATGGACGCTTCCGAACGTGATTGTGGTTGCGTCATGGCCAAGCGTGGATGATGGCGGCCTGGCCCGTGGAATCCGTTGCGAACATTAGCCTTACAACTTCGCGACTACTTGCACATATCAAAACTCCATCCATTTCGACTCTCATCTCAAATCTTCGTTAAAAGGACAGAAGTTTTCTTAGAGGGCGCCAACACCTCAGCTACCAGCCCGCCTCCAGCTTCTAGAAACCATGCGTCGCTACCACTAAGGTTATGCTGAGGACACCCACCACTCGTGTCGCCCTTGACTATCTCTGCCGTCCGCTCAGAGACTTGATTGGTCTGAACATGCATCCAGAAACCCTCGATACTGCAGCTACTCCCACGGGGTCCCGAAACTCCAACGTAGAGCTGTGAGGGAGACTCAAGGAACGCAGACAACGCCGGAGTCTAGGTCAAGGGCGTGTGCCCTTATTCGCAACAGATCTCTCGCCCTCGAGACCACTGAAGATCATGTGTTTCCCAAGATTCTCGGCCAATGCACAGCGGAAAGAACTAGCGGGATACGCAACGGGACAGCTTAAGGGCCCAGACACAGGCCCATCCCACGTGTTGCAAGGGGAGCATGCAACAATCAATCTACATCCATCCACGAAAGCGCCACAAACATGTACAGTATACTAAAAACCTGTACTTTTCCTCTGGTCATAGCGTGGTTCATCATGAAGCACAACTTGATGGGCGTATGAAGCACTTCACGAGTCTACGACGATTTCGCCTGCTCTCCCGGCGTTGCACGCACAGCCTCAATCAGATGACTTGCTCAATGACAAGGAGACTGTACGCTACAAGCAGCATTCACCGGGAGCATGGGCGGCATGCTGCCAACAAAAGCTTGAGAAAGCTTAGGAAGGCTTGTCCCTTATCCGATCCCTATCAGCCCCATCAGCGAGAAACCTATTACTGCCAATCCTACGGGAGGCCTCATCTGACAGGCGGTGATATCGCTGTGGTGTGTACCAATCGCAACTCCATGACTGCGCCACTATTAGCCGAAGAGGATAGCGATAGCAGGGTGTGAGCTGTGATTGGTCCGCGAAGGAGACCCAACTAGGTATAGTCAGACTTCCTCACTATGGCCGTAATGCGCAGCACAAACCTCGTACGTGTCATGTACAGAGACCCATATTGTGACCAGAGTCGGTTTAGACTGGTTGCTGTGGCCGTTGGGTGCCTGAGATTCGGTGCAAAGCCACGCAGACCCCTCGACTCTGTGATAACCTATTTGGGCGAGTATCGCGCAACCGCAAATGTAAAGTAAAATATAAGGCGTCGACTCCTGCGACGATGGAGGTAAGCAGCTCATCTGTCTCTGTTTTAGCTTCAACCTTCTTTTCGCCTGTTTTCTTAATTATCGAAAATGGCGATATACCTCTTCAAGCTCGTCCGGCGAAAGCTACGAGAACGCGAAGCTCAAAAGCACATCCCAACTACAGATGACTCCCATCTAGTACCCGAACCAGCTCCAGGGCATAAACTTCAAGATCTCTCAACCCAACATAACCATGGACCATCGCAAGACTCAACAGGAAGCCATATCAACTTCCTCACCCCAGAAGAAACAGCACGACAGAAAGCAGAAGCGCGCCAAAGAAACATCCGACAATGGAAATTGATGCTAGGACTCGTGTTGCCTAACTTCCTGGCTGCTATGGATGTTACTATCGTTGCTCCTGCTATTCCACTTATATCAACTCATTTCGGTATGTCGATCCGCTCATGCCATTGCCATACGACCCCATGTCTATGCCCGAGTACTAACAAAATTGACCAGACCAGCTCTCCGGTAGTTTCAACTGGATAGTAGCCGCCTACACGCTCACATTTACAACCTTCATACCCGCGTCAGGCCAACTAGCCGATATCTACGGCCGCCACTTTGCACTCCAATTCCAGATGTTCTGGATCACCATCGGAAGTATCATCTGTGCCACGGCTCAGTCCTGGAGCATGCTACTTGCGGGGCGTGCTTTGCAGGGCTTGGGCGCTGCGGGTATCATGAGCCTGAGCCGGATTATAGTGTCTGATGGGGCGACGCTGGCGGAGACTTCGAGGAGTACTTCGATTCTCTCGTTGATTAGTGGGTGCAGGTAAGCTTTGATATTCCTCACAGTTGAACGGATTATACTGATGATGCTCTACTAGTTATGCCGTCGGCCCAGTAATCGGCGGCTACCTCGCAGACGCAAGCTGGCGCTACATATTCGTCCTCCCCATCGGCGTCGCAGTCCTCTCCATACTCATCATCTTCTTCGTCATGCGCAAAGAGCTATTCCACGGCCGCGCCTCTGTCTCACCAGGTCAATCCCGGCGTCTAGGCTACATTTCCGGCCTCGCAATCATCGACTGGCCCGGCCTCGTCATGTTCATCTTCGGCGTCGGCTGCATAATCCTCGCGATCCAATGGGGCGGCACACAATACTCCTGGGACTCAGCACCCGTCATCGCTCCCCTCGTTGTTGGAATCGTATTGTGCATCGCGTTCTTTACCTACGAATACCTCCTCGGTCCTGACCGCGCGGTTGCTAGACTTTTCCATCGTCAGATCCCCATGATACCCTCCACGCTTTTCCGCAAGAAAGACACAGCGCTTCTCATGGCCATAAACTTCTCCGCAGGCATCTCCATGGTCTGCGCTTTCTACTTTATATCCTACTACTGGCAGTTCGCAGAAGGCTACTCGTCTAGTCAGGCCGGAGTGCAACTTCTTTACTACACACCCGGTCTGGGTGTTGGTGTCTTCATCGCAGCTAGACTGTGTAATCAATGGCTAAGACAAACTTTTGTCCCATTACTCATCGGGTCGGTTGTTGAGGCTGTAGGGTTGGCGCTGCTTACGTACGCGGTTTCCATCAGGCATGTCACAATGGTGAAAGTCTTCCTGGCAGTATCAGGTGCAGGCACGGGTTTACGCTTTATGCCTATTGTTCTGCATGCAGCGGGTATCTGGTCGACGCGCGTTCCCAGTATGCAGTCGCTGCTTTCTTTCATGCTACCGTTGGGCGAGACCGTCGGTATCGCTATGATGGGATCGGTTTTCTCGAACAAACTTACGACTTTCCTGGCCGGAATCGACAATTCTGGAAGCGGCGTCGAGCTGCCTGCCACCGGGGCACATAGCCTGGACCTCCTGAATAGTCTTCCACCGGCGGTCAAGGAGGAAGTTCAGCATGCGGCTGCGAAGGCGGTGATGTGGTCGCTGATCTCCATCATGCCGTTCATGGCTGCGGCGATTGTTGCGTCGTGCTTTTTGGGGAATGTTTGGATTGGGAAAACGGCAGAGAAGGGTGGAGAGCGTGATGGTCAAGAACATAAACCTGCGCAAGAGGCGGAGGTGGGAAAGGTTCTGTATGGAGTTTATGTGGTTGCGTGGTTCATGGGAAGGCTCGAGAAGCAGAAGCAGGATTTGGATGTCAATATGGAGGGTGATGAAATGAATAGGGGGCATCATAAAGTGGTTGAAGGGGATAGGGTGTAGAGAGGGTCAGAGTTGGGTACCAATATACTTGTATCATCACATGTGTTATTTTTTGACCTGGGGCTCTCTTACTCAAAGTCAATCATCCGCTCGTAGTTTCCAAAATCCGCCCCAGATATCGCCCTCTAACAGATCCGCTCATGCGGCTCCCTCCAAGGCACGCCAAGAATCTCAAAGATCTTCTTCTCGCTCCTACCCTCTACCAAAACGCCCTCGTTCAACTTCTCACCCCGCTTCCCCCTATGCACATCTTTGTACAGCCCCTTCTGGTTCAACCTCATGTTCTTCTTGCGAGCCAGCAGTCGAATACTGCGATTGAAAATATCGTTTCCAGTGAAGTATATGAGCGCTGCACCCATCTCCTCCTCGGGGACAAGAAGAAAGTCCATCCGGCGCCAGACCTTCGAGGTAGAGAGACAGGAAGCACCGTGCCACTTCGAGCCTGTGGGATCGTTGGATCGGGAGGTTGCTAGGGAAGCCTTTAGGAACCCAATCTTGTAGAGATGAGGGACGAGGCGGTCGAAGATGATCGTTCGCATAGCGGCAAGCGAAGTATCGGGCCTCGTGAGTATCATGTCGATATCGCCCGAGTCTTTTGCGCCGCGGCGATAGCTACCCATGATGGTGGCTTTGAACTTGGGGTCGATCCTTTTCAGCTCTCTGATGACAACTGCGCCATGGGCTTCAACTTCAACACGCGGTATCCGGGAGTTGAAATCATCGTAGTGCTCCACGCCGATTTTGTTGCTCTCGGTGAGATTCGCTTTAGTTCGAAGATCTTCTAGCGTACGATAACCGGCCTTGATCCATTTGTTGGCCTGAACAAGTCCAGCGCCATAGACACCGAGAAACAAGCGGAGTACTACGTCAAGAGGGTCATCTCGCGTGCTTTCGAGTCTGCGGAGACGATCGGTGAGTACAATCTCTTCAATCTTCTTGGCTAGTCGCCCGCCAATATAAGGTAGGGCAGCAGCTTGTTTCGCAGTAGTGATCTTGACCGTTTGCTTCTTCAGGGTAGTGATACATTTGCGGTAGCTGAGCACGCGCCACTGGTCCTGCATCTGATCGTAATGTTTGCACATCTGATCCAGGATCTCGATAGTCCGAGCGTTCGGGTTCTGGGACGTATAGCCGTTCGCACCTGGGTCCATACACTGGAACGCGTCCTGGTTGAATGGCTTCTTATTGCGTAGAGCAGACGCTTTCGAGACAATGTTAAACTGCTTTGGTAACTTAGGCGCCACGACTACGCGCTCCTCGTCAGTACCTGAGTCGTCTACATCTTCCACACCACTTGCGACCGGAGACCCTGCATCCTCGTCTTCCTCCAGTGGTAGGTGTGCGACAGCCTTCGTTTCCAGTATCGCTTGGGAAAGAGCGTCATTGAATTTATCGACAATCTTAGGTTGCGAAGCTTTCGTTGGACTCGAAGACGGCATGACGAAGCTATCCTCGACAGTTTCGTCGAACGAGATACGCGTAGCTATATCTGCTACAGGTGGCGTAGCGGGAACGCTTTCTTCGGTTGGATATGAGTCGGTCTTTTGTGATTCTTTTGCAGCAATCTGTCGCTTTGACGACTTTATTGCTGGTGAGCTCTGTGATGCGGCTGAGGTTTGGAATGGCTCTCTCGGCTCACCGGGTTCCTTCCTGCTGGGTGCACCTTTGATCGCGAAGCGTGGTTGATTTGGATCTCGGAGTCCTTTCCATTCTACAGTTTCCGTTATATAAGGCTGGAACTTGACGACCGCGATGTGCTCAGGAATGCTAGGTATGTTCGGATCCCGCAGTAGCAGATCATACGTGTGTACGTCGTAGTTGTCGTCTATTATAACATGTGTAATGTTTTCTGTCCATTCCTTGACCCAAGCAGCACCGAGTTCGATTACTTTGTGTATACGTTGACGCCGCGGACCGGTAATATCGTGGCTCGGCCAGAAATATACGATCTTGCCCTTGAGGTATTGTTGCTCCTCTGGTCTCAGCTTGATATTATTTGCTAGTTTGGGCTTTCCTTTCCACTCCCTTGGAATGTCACCCATTCGTATATAAAATGGAGTAGTATCTTCGCCAGCTGTCTCAGGTAAGGATGAGACTCGGTTCAGAGTACTCTTCGCGCCAACGACAGCTGTTGACCTGGTACGTGCCTTGGTGACTGGCAACATCTTTGTAAGTCCTTGTTCAGGCGCTGTAGATGAACGCATCGGTTGGTGGGTCTTTTGTCGCTCGATTGCGCGTCGTGTCTTCGTTTGCGCCTCGAACTCCGCTTGCCTTTCTTTCGGGGTTGCTCCAAGGAAACTGCTTGTCTGCTTTTTAAGCGCTGGGGGCCGCATGGCTTTCGAATCTTTCAATGCGCGTTCGAGTCTACCCACGCTGGCGTCCGGGATGTCGTGCTCATCGTCAGGGATATCCAAAAGTTCCTGCTCTTTGAAGTAGGCTTCTTTGGCCGCAAGCGCATTGTTCGACATGACGTAGACTTCTCGAAATCGATGAGTCTTTGCGATTAAAGTTATGTTGTTTCGAATTGGGCTATTGAGTTGAGTAGCGACGTGAGCGCCGCTCTAATACTTCCAAGGTAATCAAGGGAAGGGACTGCGGAAACACAGTTGCCTATCGTAGCGCCATTTATGTCGTGCGCCGGGACCGTTAGCCATTTCAAAGCTTAGCAGGCAATGCGCTGGTGAGAGAGTGTAGAACGTCACCGAGGCAGCAGCGCGTACAGAGTTGGCGCTGACGCGAAAGCACGTGGTACTTTGGCCGCTTCTGTGCTAGTTCCACGCTCACATCCGTCATTTCTCGAGTTTGGCGGGACAAAGACACTCGACAAACACAATGCTTCAGCCCCGGATAGCAACGCCATTGCGGCGCACGTTCCTTACTACCTCTTCGATATGCCTACGGTGCCAGAGCCGAATCGCAATTCCCTCAATCGCAAGGCAATCGCTCGTTCGACCTTTTACCTCCGCGCACACTCTCCGCCAGCAAGCACCGGAACCCAAGTCCACCCAGACCTCGCCCACACCAGATCCCAAAGATGAAGACATATTCATCCCGAAGCCACTTGGCCGTCCGATCGGTTTCAGCCGCGCCCCACAACCAGGCGAAAACGCCAGCATTCCCAAAACCAAGAAAGACTACTCCGGTATGACCATGTCGCAACGGAACCTCGAGAAGCGCAAGGATCTGGTCGAGAAATGGGGCACAAACTACTTCCGCGACTTCAAGAACATCCGCAAGTACAGGTCAGGAAAGACGTTCATGGCGAATCAAAGGATCTTCAAGAAGGATGCGGCGTTATACTTTCCCAACTTCCACGGAGATACGCTGGAGGGCAAGGACAAGGACACTACGAATGTGCTCAACGGGAAGATCAGTGTTGTGAATGTGTTTAGTTCGATGTGGGGGTTGACCCAGGTCGAGACTTTCACAGGGAAGAAGACAAACACCGCACTGCACGAGATTCTGGCGCAAAATCCCGAGGTTGCGCAGATGGTCGACGTCAACATCGAAGAGAACACGATGAAGGCTTGGATCGTGTCGCTGTTCCAGTGGCGGCTGAAGGCCTCCAAGCCAAAAGAGGACTGGGGCAGGTACTTCGTGGTCAGAAAAGGTGTTAGTGAGAAGATAAGGGAGACAATCGGACTTTTGAACGGCAGAGTCGGCTATGTCTACCTGGTAGACCAAGACTGCAAGATCCGATGGGCAGGCAGCGGAGACGCAGAAGGCACGGAAATGGAGGATTTGAACAGAGGCTTTACGAAGCTGGTCAATGAGGCCCGCCAGCCTCCTTCACAAGCCAGGCCTGAAAAGGTTTGATGACGAACATGTAACGATATCTTGTACAGCATACGGAAGACTCTCAATTCCCACGATACCCAACCCTTTGTAAACATAAACGTAACCGTACAGGCCCGAGACGCCTTGCGCATAGCATGCTAATGAAAGTCATGAGGATATCCAGCCCGCTTGAACGCCCAAAATGAACATGTGCAACCCAGTCTACCTGAACCATAGCAGCATCAAGAAGCAGAATGCGATGAAGCTGCCCAGTATGATGCCGTCCCTGCGCTTCTTTGTTCCGATGCGTCCGATCAAGCTGTTGATGCCAGGGACCTGACTTGCAGCGCCCACTATTCTCCGGTTGATGCTCGTGAGCGTTTCCCTTTGCAGACTGAAGTTCTCTTGTACGGCATATGCCTGGCTGAGGACCGAGTCGGCTACGTTGTGCGAGTTGTCGATGCGATTCCGCTCGTCGAGCATGTAGTCGGCCTCGGCTTGCTCTGGGTTCGCGGACCGGTATGCATCAATGTCCGAGCGTACATTAGAGAGGAGGTTCGCCCTGTTGCGGGCTTCGTTCAGGGTAGACTTGAGGCGCGCGAGCTCGCGACGGTGGTCCGAGAGTACTTCGCGGTGTCTGGCAAGGTTGTTCTGCTTTACAGCGGACGAGCCATGCGTCGATTCGGAATCGAGGAGCCGCGATAGCTGGCCGACAAGTCCATCTCTTTGCTCGAGGATTTCCTGCAGCCTAGTTTCGACCCGTAGCTCTTCTTCTGAGGGTTTCGCGGGGATGTTTGTTGTTGAGCCGAACTGCGAGTATGTGTGGAACAGCGTCTCTGTCTGACATGCCTCGTTAGCAGGGCTGCCGCGAGCGCCGATCAAGTCCGTCGCAGCAGTGTATGGAACCCACTTGTTGTTCGAGCGTGCGCGCTTGCTGGCGCAGTTGCGCCCATCCGCCTCCAGTAGACGACATGTTGGATATCACGGTATCTTCACAGGCCGAGGCAGCAACAATGGTTCCTGGACTTCTGGCATGATGAGGGTCGCACCTGCCCCGGCGCGGGCTACGCAATGCACGGCCAAGACGCTAGGCCGTCTTGGTGATCGGCGAATAGTTTAGCGAGGCTCCGGGCGACACACTGATTTCTGACAACACCAAAAGTTCATCGTTGCGACACGCGAGACCCCATCCATATCACCCGGTCCTACTAACTCACAGTCAA